AAGTTATTGTGATAATGCTGCAACAATATTCTTCTCCAAGAACGATAAGTACTCCAAATGTGCCAAACATATGAAATTAAAGTACTTTACTGTCAAGGAAGAAGTTCAGAAACAAAGAGTGTTACTTGAGAATATTAGAACTGATCTCATGATTGCAGATCTGTTAACAAAAGGCTTACAACCAAAGACATTTAAAGAACATGTTCAAAGAATTGGTCTTGGTTGTACTTATGATGGATACATTTATGATGTTTTTACACTCTGAGCTCAAATTGTGTGTTTCTGATATACATTAATGAATTTTTTATTTCTCATAATGGTGTATACATTATTGTTTTGAGATATTACAAGATAAGTCTCTATGAGACATTATTGTGGACCATAATGTTATATGTTTTATAGCTTATGAACCTAGTATGATGAGTTGCTAATGTAGTAGTATATGGAAGAAAGTATGTAGCTTAAAATTTATGTACAACCACCACAACTTGCATTAGTAGTTTATTATATTGTGGTATGTATGATGAACATTATAGAAGATATTTATTATACGCACAACTAATGTTTATGAAATATTAATGTTATATGGTCATTGGGCCAAGTGAGAGAATGTAAGAATTATTATTAATTATTTCTTACTTATGTCCCAAGTTTAGTTGTAACCCAAGTAATACCATAAATAATATTTAATAAGGAATAGATCTCGTCCGTACATTGGTTACTTGATGGACGTACCAGATTAAGTCATAACCTCTATAAATTGGTCCTCCCTCCACCCATTAGGGTTATCACATATTTTTTACAATAACTCCATCACTGACGGTTGTGGTAACGTAAGGCTAGGGCAAGGAGGTAGAAACCAATTTACGACTAACGCTTTCGCTTCTCTTTGTGATGATGTCTTCCGCATCATGTATGTGCCCCTAACGAGCTCTATGTAAGATTATCGTGTTCAAGATCCTGATATGTATTAAAGTATTTAATCTTACAAGCTATTGATAGGCCTTAACTAGGAGATCAGTGATCGAGACCGGATTTCAAGGGTGAGCCAATTCTTTCAGGCTGTCATTGAGTCTTTTCTAATGTTTAGTCCATTCCCTTCGGACGTAGACTATTTAGATATTTCTTATGTTAGTTGGGGTTGTACCCCTTTTTCTTAGATTTATTGAACTTTAGATGTTTTGGTACAATGACTTTCATGTTTAAAGGGTTACTTCCGCATTAGTTGTTAGATGAACTTTCGGAGTTTATGGGAACTCCAATTTATTTCTGCATTTAAATATGCTTCCGTATCTTTAAATGTCTAGCTTTGGGGTTAGTTGGTTAGTAGTAATGGTTCTCCCACCGAAGGGTTAGCGTGGATGTCAATTATGGCGGTCTGGATCGTGATAAGTTGATTCAACAAGTGATATTCCGTAAAGGAGATCATAGATTGATTTTCCCTACCATGTGTTTTCAATTGAGTTCATCGCATCAAATGTATGATTTTATTTTTTTTTTGTGTGTGATTTACGAACTATTATACACTCTAAACAAATTTTATTCACTGTACACCCAACAACAGTAAGTTTTCTCGATCGAAGAGACAAGAAAAACTTCCAATCTTCTGTCTGCATCAAATCACGTAAATTTATTATAACTAATTAAATAACTGAAAATTCATGTACAAATATATATTACTTCCTTTGTCCCATTTTATGTGGCACTTTTCGTTTTTCGAGAGTCAAACAATTTATGTTTGACCGATAATTTGCGTATGGAATCTTCAAATTTTTTGAAATGAAATTTATATTGTAAACTATGTAAAAAAGTACTATAAGTCACAATAATTGATACTTCAAAATGTTTAAAAAATCTATGAAAAATTTATGGTCAAAGATAGATTAGTTTGAATCTCGAAATTCGAAAAGTGCCACATAAAATGGGACGAAGGGAGTACTTTTTTTGTCTCAATTTATGTACTCCCCTCCGCCTCATTTTATGTGGTATTTTTTGGATTTCGAGATTCAAACAAGTCTATCTTTGACCGTAAATTTTTAATAAATCTTTTAAATATTTTGAATTATTAATTTTTGTGACTTATAGTACTTCTTACGTAGTTTACAAATATATAAATTCATTTCAAAAAAATTGAAGATTTCATGCGCAAATTCCCGGTCAAATTTAAACTGTTTAACTCTCGAAAAATGGAAAGTGTCACATAAATTGGGACAGAGGGAGTAATACATTTTATTTTTCGAGAGTCAAACAATTTAAGTTTGACTGAGAATTTACTCATGGAATCTTCAATTTTTTAAAAATGAAATTTATATATTTGTAAACTATGTAAAAAGTAATATAAATCACACTTAAATTGATATATCTAGTAAAATATAGACTTGTTTAAATCTCAAAATTCGAAATGTGTTGCATAAATTGAAACAAAGGAATAGTATCTATTAATTAGATATAACATCAAATATAGACATATATTTTCTTTATTAGGTTTGTATGAAGCGTGCGTATATAATTCACTAGATAATAGTCCGGAGCCAAAAGGGCAATTTTTTTTCTCAAAAAAACATAAATGGTATACCAATTTTTTTTTTTACCAAAACGGTAAAATCACTCCCCAGAGCGATATCTTTTAACGTATGTTGGGAACCGTTAAAGCCTTCATTCAAAATCTCTGCTGGAGCAGCGATTTTGTCAAAAAAAAAAGTAATTTTTTTCCTAAAATCGCTGCCTCAGCAGCGTTTTTCTAATTATTTTTTTAAAAAAATTGCTGCCTTATCCATTTTTTTTTCTTTAAACATTAATGAAAATTGCTGCCAAAGCAAAGAAAATTTTTTAAAAAAAGTTGGAAAATTGCTGCCATTGCAGCGAATTCAAGTTGGAATTTTTTATTTTTTATTTTTTTTGCAAAAACGCTGCTGAAGCAGCGAGTTAAGATTAATTTTTTTTTTTTTAAGGATAACGCTGCTGAGGCAGCGATTTTATATAAAAAAAAATTTGGCGATTTTAAATAAAGTTTTTAACAGCGTATGCGGTGTTAAAATATATCGCTCCCTCAGTAGCAGTTTTACCGTTTTGGTTAAAAAAAAATTAATATACCGTTTATGATTTTTAGAGGAAAAAAGTTACCCTTTTGGCTCCAAACGCTAGCAAATGACACTTTGGAAATTTAAGCACGTTGGATTGAATCTAATGAGAACCTCACAATTTGACCCAATTTTTGTTTTTTATTTTTAGGAAATTTTTCATAATTCATAATTACATAGCTATAAGAATATTTAATATTGATTACATGTATTTTAGTTGTTATATTTTGTCGCAAATATAAATTTCCAAGATATACCAAAAAATAGACATCAATAAACACTATTTACCCTGTTAATTAAAGCAACAACAAAAATTCAACGATCTCATTACAAATTTTCAAATGTAGACCTACTTGGATAAACAAAATGTTTTACATAATTTAATTATAACATGTAAGCCAGTAATTAGGTATAACCATATAATCACAATACATAATACTGCATATGTACAGTTAATAGTATATTAAATTCAATATCTTTGGGAAAAATTAATGATAATATTTGTGTCATTAATTTAAGACGGCACCTTCTGTTAATTGTTGCATTTTCTTGAATAACTTAGTGATCACTATTTCATAGTTAGAGAAAAATAATAAATTAAGCCACTAAAAATCACTATCATAAACAACATTAAGCAACAATGGGTTAAATGGGCTTGGGCCATTTTTGCCACTTCTAACCACCACTCATCCCAACTCCCTTAAAGGCCCATATTGGGTGCAAGATATCTATTTAGGGAAAACAAAGTAGGGAAAATTGTATGAGCAAACTATTAATTCAAATTAAATGTTATAGCCATAGTTTTTTTTAATTGTAATTCGCAGCAAACATCCCTTTTTTTGCCATCTGATTCGGTATACAATTAGTCATTTTATACATTTCAGTAATAATGCACCTTGTTGGTGGTTGAACTCATCAACATATGAGGACAATGATGCAGAATTAATGCACCATTTGACAAAGCATTTAGCGCAAAATAAAGGCACTAAAAATACTTAGAAATGGCCGTTTAATTTGAAGTACTCAGTGATGAATAAGTAGAATTAAGTATGGTGTGTTGATTTCTATTGAGGATGTCTAAACCTAGTTGTATTTAATTTTATCAAGAAAAAAGTGTACTTGGGTTTCCCTTTTTTACTCTCTCTCTCTCTCCTGTTTATTTGAATAATAGAAATGCAACGTTGAATTAGTTGTATTAAATCTTACTTTTTATTTTTAGTTTAGTCGATTTTGATACGTTTACTTGCTAGTTTCTTCGTTAGCTTTACCTTCACGACTTCATCAATATAGTCAAACTCAGTGTGATAGCAAACAAGTGAGTTCAATTGAATTTGGACAGATTAGAAACTGCACAAATTAACAAATGAGTTATAATTCAACGCGTTCATATTTTCACAAGTCAAAAATAGTTTGGATACAAAAGTTTGAGTCTATTTAATTTGTACTTTACAATATCTGGAAAAAAAAAGATTAAAAAAAAGCTGACATTAGAATAACTGTAGTCAGATAACTAACTCTGATTAGTTGTCGGTAATCATTTGGATATAGTTAGAAATAGAATCAGATCTAAGCCAAAAAGCGCACAAAATTATTAACGTACATATAGAGAAGAATCTTAATGAAAGGTCAAGTTATAACTACTAATTTGTTTAATAATAAGCTACACCTAAACTAATTACTCTTATTTTTAGATGTGATAGATTTAATTAAAGGACAAGTTATGCACTTGTCGGATATCTTCCTACGAAGGTTGATTGCATCGAAAGGCCCCAAAATTTGAATATTTCTACTCGTTCAAGTCATTACAAGATAAGCGAATCATTATGAAGAAAAAAAATCTATGAGCGTTAAAAGACTAATTCAAAGAATGTCCTTTTCAAATCTCTTATGTTTAACGTAATAGTTCCTTGCCAATATATATTGATCTCAAACTTCAACTAAATATTGCTCTAAATAACAAATAAATGCTTGCCAAACCAACAACAAAAAGGAAATGAAAGAACAATTCAAGTGGGCATATAGCTATATATAGTCTAACACAAAACTATACATACATATATATCATTATTAGTATATGTTTTACAAGACTTAAAACATATATAGATAAGGGGCGTCACCAATCTAAATCAGTCATCACTTTGTTTTTCTCTGACAAGCATAAACTTGACCAACAACTGCTTAATAACCCTTCCCTTTTCCTGCATTACATGAAATAAATAAAAAAATAAAAATAATTCTTAATAATTATGTATGGGTATTTCTTAGTTTAAACTCTTCTCTTTTCCTTTTCTCAGTGGGTGGGTGGATGGTTTGATGTTTCAATTAAGTAAAAAAAATATGCTAAAAAATAAGATTCCGTAAAGTGATTGTCTATCTTAACAACTTCCCTAGTAACATACTTTCTTTTTTAGTCTTTTCAGAAAAAAAGGTCACATTTCTAAAGTGATTGTCTATCATGCTTTCTTTCTTTTATAAACTTTGTGACACGTCAAACAATGACATACGGATTGAGACGGAGGAAGTATTTTTCTTTCATGTAATCTGCCAAGTTTGCAAAGCTTCTAACAATGATAGGATGAAATTGTGTAACAGAACTAACTATCTTAGATCCAAAAGAAAAATTCAATTCTATGTTCTGTTTCTACTGTTTTGTATGCAAGCAGGATTTCCTACCTTCATCCAAGTAGTGACAAGAGAAACAAATTGTAGAGTAAATTTCAGTTGAACCAAAAAAACAAACAAAAAAGCTCAAGAAACTGTTATTCAATCCATTGGAAATTTCTCTTTAATCTTTAAACTAGGACAAACTTATGTCAAGAGCACTTCCATGTCCATTGAGTGTAAGATCTCTTCGTTCTTAATTAAATATTTTGGATTTGACTATTGAAAAACTCATATAGAGCATTTCCCTTTTAGAGACGTGGCAAAAATCTGAATTAGTCCTGTTAAAGAAGGTCAAAAGTCTCACATTGGTGATTAGTGAGATGAGTCTCCTTATAAGGCTTGTACAATCATCTTTCCTTTGAGCTAGCTTTTGGAGTGTAAGTTAGTCCTAAAACCTAATTTCACAAGTCCAATCAGAAAATCTCGAATAATGGATGCATAAAAGCAAAGTAAGGAGCACTCCCATGAATCCAAGACAAGTTTTTTAGCACATTCATAGGCTATATGTAGCAGAACTGGTACTAAAAATTAGGGGAAGATCTAGGACTTTTGATGGTGAATCAGTAACTTTTGTGTAGATCCAATAATTATATTAAATTTTTTATCAAATATTTATCGAAAACCTAGCAAAGAGGGATCCTTCTAGTGCAACAACAGAAATGGAACCCAAAGTTTTGTGCTTTTCTTGATGATGGTTCGACTCTCCACCAGGATGAAGCTTGGCTGAAACTAAGTGGAAGTCCGAACCGACTGATGTCCTCACACAGTTATAATAATTTTTAATGTAAAAATTCATTAATTTTAAATTGTGAATCCGCCTCAAAATTAATTCGATTCATTTGAAAAATAAAGAAATGAAGATATGCACTACCTGTTGTTGTTGTTGTTGTTTCTGCTACTAGTACTGCTGCTATTTCTGCCACTGCTTCCAGTACTATTGCTGCTACTTGAACCAGAGAATCTCTTCTTCCACCACTCTTTTTCCAAATTCTTTGAAGAAACATTTTCACATTCTTCAGGTTTAGGAGAAACTCTAGTTGTATTTGCTGATGGATTCTTCTTTTTCGTCTTCTTTGATCTCAAAGAAACAGGGGAAACCATTTTGATAAATACCCCTCCATTCTCTATACTTTTACTTCTCATCATCATCTTCGCTTTCTTAATTTGTTCATTCTTCTTAATATTCACTCTGTTCTGCATCACAGCTTGATTTTTCTCCCTGTTACTATTAATTAAGCATTCTTTTTGAGATTCAAAGGATTTTGTCTGCTCGACAAGATCCTTTAAAGAAAGCTCAAAACAAGATTCAGGCATGTTCTTGACCATTTCCATAAGTTCCCATTGCCCTCTAGCTATAGCTTGAGTTCTAGAATTCGGCGAAAGTGATCGATAGTTTATGGGATGTACTGGACTTCTTGATGGACTATTTTTCCATAAGGCTGGTGAAGAAGCACCAGATTCATTATCATCTTCAATTTTTTGATCTCTAGATTGAATGTTTCCATGTTTCTGTGATACATGGAAATCAAAATTATGAGGTTCCCAATTAGTGTCATCAGGATTATGAATATTGGGTATTTGTTTTCTTGGATTAAACATGATTGATTAGTGTTGGAGGAAGGAAATGGAAATGGAAATGTGTGTATGAAGATTGAAGAGAGTAATTAATTAAGGTGTGAAGAATATGTTCATCAATTGTGTTTGGTCCATTTGTCACTTCCTTTTTAATGACAACAAAGTATTTATTGGTATGTGCCTGCATCTTTTTGTTTGTTAGGTCCTACTCCATCCATCCCGTCCTATTTAGTTCTCACCATTTTAAATTTCACATCCTTTAAATAACTAGAAAAGTTTACCATTGTTCATTTATTTAGTATTCTTAAAGTCAAGTTTTCAATTAATGAATATGAATTAATTTTTTTTGATTAATTAATATGATCAATGAACATGAATTAATTACTTAGTTTTCTATGTTGGTCACATGCATACTTCCAAAGCTAATAACTCTCAAGCGTGAAATAGAAAGTATAGTTTCATTTATGCATTAATTTTATGAAATGACAAGTATTAAAGGAAATTTATTTTTAATAAGAACGAAATTATATAGGAAGGGAGTAACTTTTTAAAATTATTTGAAACAAAAGAAGGAAAAAGAGAGGAGAGAGAAAGGAATGTGGAAAATTACCTCAAAAGAAAAGTTGTCCAATTAAAATATAGACCGAAAGAATAATCTACATATATGAACCACAAAATGCTCCAAATGTATGATTTTTCCATCAATATTTATGAGAAAATGACAAAATGGTCCATTATATATGAAAAATATGCTTAAATTGGTCTCTTAAATGTACTTGCTATCTAAAATTTTCAAAAGTAAGTAAATTAGTCTTTGTAAATTTTTAACAAACTTTGGTTGTTAAATTCTATGGAAAGTCTTGATAAATCTCAGAAATGAAAATACCAATAACTGCAGCATACACACACGAAAAAAAAGTTAGTAGAAATTACACCTCCTAAAAATTGTACCACCCACTAGAAATAGATTAAAAAAGAGCCAAAATACTCACCTCAAATGTGAGTTCATAACTAAAAATAACAATCACAATTTCTCGTAAATCTATTAACCAGAGTTTGTTGAATGTATACTTGATATGGAGATAAAGATGTTCAATTTGTCAAACTTAAGTCATCATTTCTGCAACTTTTAGAAATGTATTTGGACCAAAATGTGGCATATGAGAAAAGATAATATGAGAAATGAATATACTAGGTATAAGGTAAAAATGATCCTCATGGTGGACAAGATGAGAAAAGGAAGGTTGAGATTCGAACATGTGCAGAGGATATGCACAAATATGCCCCAATGAAGAGGTGTGAGAGGTAGGGGTACGCCTAAAAAGTCTTGAAGGGAGGTGAATAGGCAAAACGCATAATGCAACTTTAAGTTATCAAAGGCATGACACTTGATAATAAGTTGTGGTGGTCGAGAACCAGGGTGGAAGGCTAATAAGTTATTGAGTGTTTCTCCTTTCATCCAGAATATAAGTTTTATCTCTAGACCAACCTGTTGATATTAGTTTCATACCTAGTATTAGTAGATCTATCAGATACAATTTTTTTGTCTTTCAAAATAGAAATAAGCTCTGTATACACGCTTCTCTAGACCCATATGTCGAAATTATAACTATTATTGTGTTTGAACTAAAATCACCCTAAGATGTACTTAAAAAGGACCATTTTTGTCATTTTCTCCACTCTCTCATAGGAAAAAAATGTCACATATATTCTAGAAACTTGACAATTTGTTAATGGTGTAAATTGTGCTGGAGTAAATTTATTTGAATTTGAACATCTAGTTGTGGGTAGGACCTCCTTTTGCCTGAATTTCCTCATTTTTGTCCTTAATGTATGGAAATAAGTGGTCTCCTTTTTCCTATGGCATTGAAAGAATCACTTGTCCATTCTCATATCTCAAACGCACACGTATCTTTGAATAAACTAAAACACCTCTTCATTGCTTAATGGACTAAGCTAACTCTAAAAATCTACTAATTTTTATAATTGATTTTATAATAAGATATTATAAAGTGATTAGTACTATATATGTTACACTTTTAGTCTTTTTTAAAAATATTTAATCTTTTCATTAATAATATATTTTAATAGTTAAATGTCATGATGAGATATTTATTACTGTAAAAAGTCTTTTGTCTTTTTAAAATTCTGTTTCAATCAACTATATATATTTATATAAAATCACATGGAGAGAGAATACACTATATTTCATAAAAGTCCATACAACAAAAATGAATAAACATAGCTTATAGGTACTGTGTTCGTTATGAAAAATGTTTTCCATATATGGTTTTAGGATAATTTTTAAAAAAAAATGAATTTATAAGAGAACAAACGTAACTTATTAAATTTATTTTGGTATGGGAGTGTAATATATTATCCTAAAAGTATTTTTAAATAATCAACAAAAAAACGATACCTAACACACCTTACGTGTAAAAATACATTAATACTTTACCAATAACTAGTGTGTCTCAAATACTATATGCTTTTTTTAAGAGCTATAATTGATTGCTTGCAAATATTTCTTTTCTTACTCAAATGATTTGAATTTTTTTGCGGCTTTGCTACGTCAATAAGTATGTGGCAGACATCATAAGGAGATCAAATAAGGTTTGCACCCAAGTATTTTTAAATAGGTGAGAATTATATAATGTTAATTCTTTTATTTTAATTTCAATTAATTTCTTTCAATTTATTTAATTTAATTAAAATAACAATCGGTTCTCATATGATTGTGGACATGATATGAACATTTCATATATGTCAAACAATTTTTTAAAAAAAAATCTTATAATGTAACGAACCCAAATTCTCAACTGAAATACTCAAGTATTATATAATTACTAATAGCCAAATTACAACGCAACACTTCAACTATTGAATTAGGATGCAAAATACTGAATTAATAAGTAGCTAAAGATAGAGATAAGAATGGGGATGAGAAACTTAGACTCTAGAAAGAGATGAGAGGATCTAACAATTTCTTTCACAATCTGCATAAATTCCCAAAACTGCAGTGATAACCCTTTTATCTCTAGTCAACCTGGATCCCAAGCAAACCTATTGTTGGGCTGTCTTATTCTTGGGCCACTTCGTGGTTTAACCTCGGGCCCAACAGCTTGTCTAGCCTCTCGGCTATCCGTGATCACAACATATAAAGATAGAAATCGATAACCTAATCTAAGGGTGTGCAAAAATTAAAACCGACTGATAAACCGAATTAAAAAAAGTATTACTCCCTCCGTCCCATTTTATGTGGCAACATTTGACCGGGCACGGAGTTTAAGAAATAGATAAAGACTTTGAAATGTTTACCAAATTGTCCTTAAAAAATAGACTTATTTTTCTCTCTCCTAATAAATGTATTGGAGTACTCTTTTCAAGATTAAGTGGGACCAACAAGGATAAAAGAGGAATTGTACCTTTAAATACTTACCAAATAAGGAAATGTGACATTCTTTTTGGGAATGACCAAAAAGAAAATGTTGCCACATAAAATGAGACGGAGGGAGTAATACTCAAGATAAACTGGAGCCCATCGAAAACAAGGAGATTGTTATTGAGTTAACTGTTATTTAATGATTTTATAAAAACAAATTATTGGATTATTTGGTTTGATATTGGTTTTTTAATATTGGGTTATTGGATTAACCAATAACCCATTAAGAATATAATAATTTACTATTTTAATTTTTAGTCATACATAAATATCAAACAAAAACATTAATATAATCATCATATTAGACTATAACTATAAGAATCCTACACAATTAACACTACTTAACTATGTTCTCTGCATTTATCTTTTAGATTTTAGTATTACTCTAGTCTTTAGATTCACAACGTAAGAACTAAGAACGACGACGGCTAGGGTTTGCAACGACGACAACAAGAGTTAGGTAATGACTAGGGTTGTGAATTGTGAGTATTTTCTATACTTTTACTACATGAAGCAGAAATTTTATACTCAATGAGAAATTTGATTTCTCTTTTTTATTTCGCGTTAAATTGTTGGACAAGTCATATATTTGTTTTGAAAGCATTTTATTATTGGTTAAACCGAAAATCAAACCGTTAAAACCAAAAATCGATAACAAATATCTTATTGATTTGGTTATCGGTTTAACATATTTAAAAATCGAAAACTGATAAACCAAACCAATAATAATTAAAACCGAACCGATCTATACACACCCCTATCCTAACCAAAATCAAAGATTGCGCATTCACAAAATTGTCACCATATGAATAAATTACCTGGTGGGAGGAGAATTTTTTAAAAAAAATATTTACGAGATATCATATTTGGACATTATTATTTAATTTGTATCTATTTGTTTTAAAAAATTACACGTCTTAAGTTCAGATATATTGACAGAACTTAAGTTATATGTGTCTGAACTTTAATCACGTTTTCAGAAGTTTGACTTTGTGAAATCTAACTGTAGACAACATACGCTTAGCTTGAAATTGTTTCAAATTGGGCTTAAAATGGTGATCTAAAATGAGAAAATTATATGAAATAGCAAATTATTAATTCAAATTAAATGTTATAGCCATAGTTTATTTAATTGTAATTCGCAGTAAACATTTCATTTTTTTGCCATCTGATTCGGTATACAATTAGCCATTTTCGATATACAATTAGTCATTTTATACATTTCGGTATGAAATGTATAAAAATGTGTTTGTATTTGTATAAAGCGAGAGAAAAGTGTATATATAAATACAAATACATATATTTTTGTCCTATTACACTTATAATTATACAAATACAGATCTTATTATACAAATTACAATAACTGAACAATTTGTATAAAACTGGATGTTTCTAGTGAATTATACAAATCAAAAGCTCCATAGCAAACACAAAATTTGCTATGGAGCGCAATTATGCAAACTATAGTTATAACATATAAATATGATTTTTATGTTTGCTATATGTGAAAGTTACTCATCTAAAATCTCGAATATGTGTGTCACCAGAAAACATGTCTATAGTTTGATGTTGGAGAACCAATTTACATTTTAAAAATAAAGTGATGGGAAAAATATATATGAATTGTGAAAACTGATGAGTTGTGGGTGTTTCAAAAAACAGGAGAGAATTCAGGTTCGAGTGGTAAGTACTCCTTCATTTTTAATCA